TAAATAAGGAAAATGCAAAATATCAATCTTATTGTCGTCACATTCCGAGTTAGAATTAGTATTGATCTATATAACAAAAATAATGTTAGATGAACATCTCATATTCAGTGACATGCATCTTTTATTTATTGTTAGAAACTACTAAAAGCTGTCTTGTCTTTTGAACTTAAAAAATAATAACCTGCATCTCTATGCGATAGTCAAGTGTTCTCTTTTAAGTTTTAGTTGATGATATCATTGTATAAATAAGTTGTATGACTTTCTATAATCCTAATGTTATCATCAACTGAAGAATTTCAAGAGCTAACGCTTTATTTGTTTCTTATTCTATGTCGAATTCTTTTACTATGTTGAGCATATTTTAAATATTAAGTTTAATTAAAAATATAAGTTTCGACATGTTTGATTTTAGTAAGTGAAGCATATGTTTAAGGATATTCTATTTGATATTTATTGTTGAAATAATTTTGAGATTCATGCAATATATGTATGGCATTTGAATCATTTGAAGATAAGATATGCTTTGTTATTTTTAGTGAAGAAAAATTATTATCATTTCTACCTCTCAGTTTGAAAAAGTAATTTCTTTTTTCTTGTCACATTGTTTTTATCACTATTATGATGATGACAAGAAAACAACCGAAAGAAAAGGAAACTGACCAATTCTTTTTCAAGTCTCAAGTTAAATAATCAAGTTTTGTCTGTTGGTCATATACTTTTTTTTTCTTATCAGAACACAGTCAATAAAATTTGTTAGAACAATATAGACCTTTTTTCAAGGTGACATCCATATATCGTGGTAAGATTTTTTGCCAACAATAATAAACAACTTTCTACAAAGTTAGACATCGTAGATAAACACCGTCTAGCTTAAAAAAGAATATCAAATCTTCATTTAAGATAAATATGAAGTACAATACTACAGAAGACAATTAAAACAAACCTGATTTTGAATAATGTCAAAAAACGATATTACTACAGTGCAACAAAATTATGGTGCATGAATATAAAATCTATGTAGAAAGATTGTTTGTAAAAACGTTTGACATCTTTTATTATTGATTAACTCTAAACTTCTGTATTTTGTTGTTCTATGATTTTTTTTAAAGTTATACAATTATTTCCTCTTCAATACATCAAGGGTTTTGTTATTTTTTTAGAAAATAATAATACACTATTATCCATTTCAAATTAAAAGAAGGATGAGTATTTTTGGAATAATTTTCGATAGGAACTAGATATAGATCAGCGGTTTTCACCGTTTAAAAGAGAAAATGAAACTGCATCGAATCTCGAATACCAGACTTTTCCGACAAGTTTTCTAAGGACTACCCGCCAAGTTTCTAAAACAGAAAACATTGTGTAATGTAAATGTTTTGGAATTTTATTTTTCAATAGTGCAACAGAATCGTTAACTAAAGTTCAATAATCTGTATAAGTTCGACGTTAAAAGGCTTAGCCAATCAAGAGTTATGAATGTTTTACTAAACGTTTTCGGCACATTTTTAACAAAAAATTGACATTTTTTTCTAATTTTTTGACGAAAAATCCACTTTCTAAACCTATTAATAAGCCTCGATTTTCTAAAAAACTAGGCGGGTGGCTTTGAGAAAACTTGTCAGAAAAGGCTGGTATTCAAGATTCGATGCAGTTTCATTTTCTATTTTTTAACGGTGAAAACCACAGATCTATATCTAGTTCCTATCGAAAATTATTCCAAAAATACTCACCCTTCTTTTAATTTGAAATGGATATTAGTTTTCCAGACATAGACATAATTTTATATATCTGAATGCTTTCATATGATGTTATGACGAACAACAAAATACTCTTTTAAAACTTATTTAATACTCGTCTTGTTAATAGGATCAACAATGGCAAACTTTGTTTAGGTAAATTGATCTCTGAATTTCAAATTTATATTATTCATTTAGTAGTAAAAAAGATAAAATTCAAGATAGTTTGTTTTCTGATACATGTGCAATACCAATATCATTTATACACCAACATCAATTAACTTTCTTCTGTGATCTATTATGTAAATATGGTGATCTTCTATTTTACATTCGAATGAACATGTGAAGTAATTACTCACAGTATGGATTGATAGTGGCACCATTCATGATTTTTTTCAGAAACTTTCAAGAAAATAGTTTGGAATTTGAAGTGTAACATGACGCAAATGTCTTTCGTGAAATGAAAGGTGAATATTTATTAACCAGTTCGAATGATTGACAAGTTTTTGTTTTGTTTGTAATGTCATAACATGTTCTTTAAACTTTTTTATTTCGTATATAAAAAAATCAAAAGGATTACCATTCACTGAAATATGAAAATCAATTCTTTTCGAAGTATGTTGAAAAAACATTACAGAAAACTCATGTTCGGATTAATTTATTTCCATTAGCGACGATCATTTTAAATCAATATTTATATTTCCAATTCGACTTATATTTTTCGGTAGCTTTCGTTTAAAGCGATTGATCAATTGATTATATGAAGGAAAAGGATCGTTAATTTCAATGGTATTATTTCACTTTTCATTTCAAATAAAAATAGTACAGTGAATTATTTTAAGTATTTTTGAGAAATTAAAAGTGATTCGTGCGAATACTAATTGAAAATGAACAATATACGATATAAAACTGTGTAAGAGTTTTGCATGGGAAAGTCAATAAAGCTATTTCGATGAAAGTTATTATCAAAATATATCAGTATATTTTTGTCTATCGAAATCTTTCTTAAATATGATTACAAACTGATGTCAACATAATGTCAATAGTGTCTAATTAGAGTTTTGTAAATGTCGTTTATTTTATTAGGTCTTTTGTATGTTATTAGTAAGAGTATAAACTTTTATGGGAATAAATATTCATCATTTTCTATTCCCGGTTAACTTTTCTGAAAACAACTCTATTTATGCAATAATTTCATTTGTCTCTAAAGATTTCAATCAATCAAAAATTGTCTTTTAAAAGATAAAACTTTCATTGATAACCAATTAAGATGTTAAACAAAATTTGCCACTAAACATATTTGACTGATCTCATATTCTAGACGTTGATTTTTCATACGAATATTGTTGAATATAAATTATCACTATGTAGGTAAATATACTTTTGATCACCATAATTTTTCAAAATATGGTGCTTCATCAATTCTTTTCTACCGAATGTTTCAAAACTACATACAGCTTCTCACTTCCATCTTGTGACTTAGTTCAAGCTTTGTGAAACCAAACTCATTTCTATTGATATATTCATCACAATTCATTGTGAATCAGTCGGATATAATAAAAAAAATTACAAATATTAATCATCACAGTACGTATAATCATCATGACATTTTTTTTGTCGTACTGTCATATGACAAGTAAATGGCATCAGCGAATCGGTTATATAGGCATCTATTGTTTGGTGTAACCAAAATTTTATTGACTTGTTTTATTAATACAACCATTTATATGGCCCATTAGTCTCAAAGTCTTTTCATGCAACCATCCTGTTGGCTTAACAATTCTACTATTTAATCTATATCAAGTCTGCGATATAGCATGTATTGATTGACACCTATCTAGAGTGAAGACGACTATCAGAAAGATACTACAGTTGCAAATTATAAAACGATATCAATAAAAAAAATAGTGTAATGTTTTATTCAGATCTTTTATTCTAGAAAGACGATTTAAAGCTTCACTATATCAAACACCTATTTTTGAAAGCACAGACACATAATGTGTATTATAACAATCGAAAGCTTCGAGAGGATTAATCCAATCTTTGACAACTGGCTAAAACACTAAAAAGATTGTTTAACTGATTATTATTCTGACGAATGTTTAAAAATATTGACATTCTCTGTATGAATCAAAAACTAGGAAGCACATAAATTATAGATAAGCAACTTCGAGTTGAACTTGCCCATCTCTGATATGATTCGCAAAACATAATACTAGTAGACAGAACATAAAATGTTAACAGTTATAAACAAAAGAAAAATTCTATATCTATTAATATGTTCTCTATTCATGGTAAATGTAATTTTATTTTACATCGTGTTTTGTTCTCAGACTATAATTTATACTATTTTGAGATTGAGTGAATGTTACTTTGTTACCTTAACGAATAAATCTCAATTATAGTTTATTTAAAATATTAATGGATATAAGTAGATTTTTCTTTTTGTTTTTAATCATTCATCAATTTGTTGTAAGGCGTTTCTTCAATATAGTTTGAGAATTAGACGATTGCGTTCTATGCTTGGTTATTGATTTTAAACTCTAATGACTGGCAAAGTCGATACATATCTATGTATACTTTCGTGATTAAGAAGCTTAACATCATTAGTTACACATATGTATGCGTGTTCGTTCATTTTGTCAATTAAAAAGGAAAAAGAAAAAGAAACGAAAAGCGAACGGACACGATCGTATGTTTTACTGAAAAAAAAAGAAGAAACTTTTTTTTTTCTTCCGCTAAATTATAGTTTCTTTCTCTTCTTTTCTTTCGAAATATACGTACATATTTTTTTTTGGATCATTTTATAGTCTTAGTATTGATAATGAAGAGTTTATCGCGTAAACGAAGTAAATGAAGTGTGTTAAGAAAGAAATCACTAGTGAGTAGACGTCAACGATCGATAATCTTATTTTAGTCGCTTGTTGGAAAAAAGAAAATTCTCAATATCCGGAGAAAGACATCTTACCATATGTAACAAACTCGATTTATATTTTTCTTTTTGCTTGTCATGACAAATCAACTTAATGTTTGTACTGGTAGCACTTTTATTTTTCAATAAATCACAAACGTAAGTTTTATTTCTTTTTTAAGCGTAATTAAAGCAGCATAAATGTATTCATCACATGTCCTTGATTAGATATATTGAATTATTAAGGCACGTGGTTATGAATACTATTATGTTAGCTGGTAAACTTCGATCATTGTTTTTCGGACGGAAAAAAAAACAAAATTTAATACAAAGAGAAAAAAAAGGAAAGAAATTTAATCTTGAATAAAATTAATAAATAATTGAAGAATATCTCTAAATCGTTTTATTTGATTATCATTATTATCAACAGTCCAATTGATATAAGCAAATTCTTTTTGTAATTCATTAATTACACATTGCAGTTTGTCATATTTATGTATATGTGATAATATGTAATTTAATATGTACGGATATGCAAGATAACCATGTATAACTTGTTTAATAAATATATCCATTTTAACAGTTCGTTTTAATCGACTCATTTGTTCAACAAAACCTAAGGGACGATCTGCACTATATTGATATATTAAATTTTTAAATAAATAACGACGTTTTTCTTCATCTTCTTCACTTTCTTCAAATTGTCGATTTATTTGTTGCATTTCAGCTTGACCAATATTTTTATCATAATCGCATAATTTACATGTGCATTCATCAATATAATATTCACGTAAACGAAGTGTTCGATCGATATAAGAACTATAAACTGATGGTAAATAACATATTGTCATTTCTTCACCAGTTTCAATAGGTTTAAGAACACTAAGAAAACATAAATGATTAATGATAATATAAAAACAATTTGGTAAACATGAATGATTAAATCGAGCTAATTTTGGCCATAAACCACTACCAATAACATTTCGTTCAAAAAGTTCTATTAAAACTTTATATGGAAGAAGATAATAATCTTCATCATCAGACTTTTTTCTTAATGGTTGTTGACGTAATGGTGTTAAATGAGACAATTTTTCGATGAATTTTTTATGATCCACTAGTATACGTGTTTCAAATTGTCTTAAAAGTTCGAGAACTGATTGTCGAAGATATTTACCGGCACTTGTTCCATCTTCATCTGTATTTCGATGTTCACGTTTTTGTGTTAAAGAAAAAGTAACTAAATGTGATTGACTATCGACAAGTTCTTCATTCGATTTCGAATGAACAAATGCAAACGGTTGTTCGACTAATAATAACGTACCCGGTTTTAAAGGACATAAAGCAAATATACCATAACCTTTTTCCTATAAAAAATATAAATTTATCATTGAAATAAGGAAATTTTTTTAACTTCAAAAACAACAAAAAAAAAAGATCAGTTTTTGATCAGCATGCGAATTGACTGTTTCTATTTTCCTTTCAGTTACAATTTTACTAGAAAAATTTCTTACGAAAAACTTTTTTCTATTCGTCGATCCTATTTATGATGAATATATAATGATGTATTCAATTAAAAATAAAAATAAAAATATTTTACCGGTTTTTCACATTGTCGAAATTCATAAACATTTTCTCGTTCAAATTCTGCACAAAATTCATCAGATCGTCTTGTTCGTCCTGTCATCAAATCAAACATATCATAATTTCCATTTGCTTCATTTTCTAAACGTGGTATATCAGAATCAAGTATACGTCGAAAACGATCAATAATTTCATTATATCCTGATGAAACATCTTGTGCACATTCAACTAATGAATGTATGGATAATTTAGCTTCATCATATAATTGTAAACCAATTAATGCACGTAATTTTCGATAATGTATTTTCCATGTAAATGTTATATCAGTTTTGTCTTCAGCTGGATTATTCTTACATATCGCAAATATACGTTCACAATCAGCAAGAGCTAGATGAGGTAGTTGACTTTGTAAATAACATTCAGCACGATTACTTAATATACGATTATCATTGGGACTTTTATCCAAACCAAGAGAGTAATATTCAATAGCACCATTAATATCATTATTATGAAAACATTTGTTACCTAAAGATAATAGAGAATTAGAGGATTTTTATCAAATGTATGAAAATCACACAAAGAAAAACTTAAATAAATTTAAATAGCTTAGTATTTTCATGAATGAATATGAAAATTTGAAATTTTTATTTTCATCACAATGAAATTGTCAGTTTCAATACGAAAGATGTACGAAATCGAGCTTCTTATTGTTTTTTTTAATTTCAATTTTCATCTTGATCTCATTGTTTGAATTACTTTCGATAAGATTCATCTTGTTTTAATTTAATATATGAAAATTTTTCTTACCTAAATCACGTAATTTATCTGCATCCATTTGCTCAATCTCTTTTTCATAATCAGTAAACCACATTTCAAGTCTTGGGTTATCTACACGTAACATTAATAAACCATCGGCAGCCATTTTAATAAATGGGTTTCCAACAATAAAATGTCTCTCACGTTTTACTCGATTTCGTATATGTTCCATGGATTGATCAGCTAATATAGTATACCAATTATATATTGCCAAACGTATAACATTTCCATTGGCATCTTCAACTATAGATTGAATAGATCTTGGCGTTATAAATGGATCAACGATTGAATGTAAAAGAATCATTGAACCTTTATGTACACGATTTATCTTTGTTTCTTTAAGATTAATACGTGTCATAGACATAAGACGATTATAAATTTGTTGTTTAGAAAGAAATGATAATGAACGATATTTTAATTGTACATCAAATGCATATGGTATAACATTATAATCTTCAAGTGTTAGTGCTTTAATATAACGTTCAAAAGATAAAATTAATTCTTTTCTTGAACATATTTCATGAAATGGGCGAGAATTTAATTCAGTACCATAGATTCCTGTTGGTGCTGCAAGTAAACGATCAACAATATGAAATGGTGAAGTACTTTTTTCTTCAGTTGTTGATGAACGTTGTGAGATAGCTGTCAAACGTCGTGCAGTACGAGCTGCTTTTTTATTATTTTGACACTGTCGAGCAAAATAGAATGCTAAATTTGTCATATCAATATTTGGTAATAATTGTGATAAATCAGCAAATTTTAATAGTTGCCGTCGATGTTCTTCACAGCATACATGTGTTGGTATGTCACAATTTGTTGATTCACTTTGCTTTATTCTATAGAATAAAATTTATTTGTAAAAGAAAAAAAAAAAGACAGAAAATATTTTTTAAGAAAAGTCAAATTATGATTTTTGTTTTTTGAAAATAATTATCAATAAACTCAAACTAAGATTGAAATAGAGACGCTCTTTCCATATTTTAATAATTGTTTTCGATGAACGATAAAAAATAATTCGTATAGACATACCTATGAAGCATTATTTTTCAAATAATTAATAATGAAATAATTTGTTTTCATGAGCTGATTATTGATTCTTGAATCCAACAATGCTATCCTTATCTTTTACAGTATCTATAGCAACTGCAATTCACCGATGTTGGAAGAAATGAAGCCGAAACAGTTTATTATATCTTTTAAATTTGTCACAAAAAAAGGAAAGTAAAGAACGAAAAAAAGAGAACATATGCAATTGGTTATACAAAATATCGACTCATAAATCAAGATACAAATAGATGCCTCCAATTCTGGTGAAGAAAAATACTTTGATTTTGTTTTTATTTTTAGTGAATTAAAAAACTTGTCTCTTCTTTTAATATATTCATTTGTGCTGATATTAGTTAGATATTATCTGTTTATTTTTTTCTTGTGAAGTGTTAAATCCTTCAATGGCTGTCTAATTTAAAACAAAAATGTTACATTTTATAGAACTTTTAAGCCTAAATAAAGATGTCACTAAGAAGGATTTTAAGTATTTTTCTTTCGAAATTTTTTTTTCTTAGGAATCACAGTCTCCTCTACAGATGAATCTAGAACAGCGTAGAATCAAGCATAGATGATTCTCTTGACTCTATATGAGAATATTACTCATTTCATCATCATTGTAGAGAGAAAGAAAAAAAAAAATTTTTATGTGTAATAAATTATGAATTGGCATACAACATCATGTTTCTTAATTCAATAACTATTATTTTGTGCCATTAGCCCTTTCAGGTATGATTAATATTTATTTTTTGTGTGAGAATTAAATATGTATCAAAAGAAACTTGATAATTGACACTGTGTTTTCAAATAATTCATTGTTGGAGAAATGCAGCATTTCAATAAAGAAGAAAACGTTATGATTAATACTGTAGCCGAGTAATAACAATTACAATCGAAATATCGTTTTTTCTTTTAATTATTTAATTTAAAAATTTAGATGAATAATGATAATTACAGAAATAATGGTTTTTTTGTAATACCGATAATCATTAATTTTCTTTCAGATATTATCTTATGTATTTCTAGAAAATAAATGCTCCATTTAATAATTATCTAAATGTGCTTAAGACAATGTACACGACTTAATAAATATTGAAAATATTTAATTAGTATGTAATTAGGAAACGTTTTCCTAGTATATTTTCGAATTTTTTCTATTGTGATATTGGCAATGAGTCATAAACTCATGACTCATTCCCAGTGTGGGAAAAATATTAAGTGAATTACTCATCTATGTTTTTATTCTTTTCTTTAACAGTATAGAGTAGTTCATGAATAAACAATCATTCAGCACATTGACTAAAACTTTTTTTCTTTTTTTCAACTTTTAAATCTGAATGTTTTTCCAAAGGATGTGTTGGTGGATTTTCTACGAAGACTTAATTAGACTTATTTCTATTAAGAAGAGAAATCGAACAAAAATGATTCAACATAAAAACCCAGCAACTTGCTACTCTGAAAAACACTTCTGTTCAAATAGTTTCATTGCGGTGAATAATAAGAAGGAAAGAGAGTATACACATGTTATCGCCCTTGAACAGGTCTATCAACCATACTCTGAAATAAAGTGTGTTGTAGTCTGGTTGATAACTATTCATTTTTGGTTTCTTTTTGCGCATACAACTACATATAACCAATTCAACTAAACATAATGAGCTTATGTTATTTTTTCTAGATTATTTATTGGTTATGAACATGCTCACAGATTCAAACGAACTCAAGATGACTTGATCTCAAGATCTGACCACCTTGAGCTTTAAGAGTAGATATCACTAATTCGAATGAAACTTGAAAATAGTAATTATTCTCTTCCATAGTAAAAATGACAAATGCGCTGAAGACTGGATTCGAACCACATTTTCAAACTGTATCGTACATTGTGTTGCAAATTATGACACATTTTATTTCAGTGAGCAATATTATTTGAATAAATAGGAAAGTAATCTTAAGGACTTTCACTAATTTTCCTCTCTCTACGATATTCCAGGAAAAATTTAGGTATCATTATCTCGGTTCTGGAGCTCTTGGACAACATCAGATCACTAAACTAAAATAACATTTTCTCAGCTTTGATTTTTTCAATTTCGCTATAAAGTAACTCCCGTATGAGATTTAGCGGTGAAAGTTTATTTAAAAAGTATTTTTTAAATAAGAAAATGGTAGGTTTCAGTTATTTTAGATATTCTGCTGGAATTAAACAAACTTTGAATTGTACGATGACAACGATCACAGTTCAACAAGACTTAAAATATTTTCATTTTTTTGTTGCGCTATCTATAGAATTGTTGGAAACATACAGAAGTTGGCAATGCAAAATAAGTTAAAAATGTTGCCTGTTTCTATGTATTTAATATCCTTCATTTGATTTCTCTCCTTAATAGAAATAAATCTGATTAAGTTCTAAAAAAATTTGTTAGCATAATGTCTGCGGAATTTAAATGTTAAATGCAATAGGACTGCTGGTATTTTAAAATAGTCCATCTGTTAACTACTGTCGGTATACTAATCGGTAGAATATCCGCTATAAAGGCGATCTTTTTTTTAAGTGTGGTATTAAAACGGATGAGTAATCTTTGAAGTCTGTTAAAACTGATAGAATAGAGATGTTTTGCAATACGCTCTGATAATGATGATGAGTTCGAACAACCTGTAATAATTCCAGAGGCCAAATTGGCTCCAGGTTTCAGATATAGTCGAGTTTCAGATCACGCTGCAAAACTTTTTATATGAATATCTATCTACTGTTAATGTATGTCGATGATGATAGATATTACAGTAGACGTCAAAAGTTTCGCACCACATTTTTGTTTTAGTTTGTATTTCAAAAACACACGACATAGATTCAAATTTCTTTTTACTTTCAGATAGCGGAGCTCGAGTACTATATGTATGTATATGTTTGAAATGAATAATCTTTCAATCTGAAATACAAGAAAGACAACAAACTTCAGTGCTACGACAAAAACTACATAAAAGAAAACAAGCTGATATAGCTGTTATGATTTTGAGTAAGATCCTAGTAATGCGAAAATCGAATAAGTTTTTGTTTGGTATTTTTACATGAGTCGGTAGCTCTCGATGAGCTCTACGAAACTGTCTATATTACATTTTTTATAACCTTTTCTGAGATAAAAAGATTACAAAATAATCGCATGTTTTATTTGTTCTATATGAAAAATCGAGAATTTTTTTATATCAGAAAAGCATAAAAATACAATTGTATTATAATTTTTTGTCCCAGAAAAAGGTTCTAAAAATTTTTAATATAGACAGTTTTGCAGAGCTCGTTGAGATCTATCGACTCATATAAAAATATCAAACAAAATCTTACTCGATTTTCGTATTACTCCAACTTTAGTGAAACTTCTATAACTGATAACAATCGTACCATTTTGTCTTTTTTTGGGTAGTTTTTGTCGTAGCACTGAAATTTGGTTTTTTTTCTGTGTTTTCGATTCAAGGATTATTCATTTCAAACATAAGCATACATATAGTACTCGAGCTCCGCTATCGTAAGGTAAAAAGAAATTTGAATTTATGTCGTGTATTTTTGAAATGCAAACCAAAACAAAAAAGTGGTGCGAGACTTTTGACGTCCACTATAGTTACAATATATTGTAGTGAGTGTGAAAGAGAAGTAAAGAGAAGTTGTGATACTAATCTAGCAGTGGACTTTGATCTCGCGGTTATGTCTATGACGGTTGCGAACGGTTGCTAACGTATCTGCCAAATAGCTACTTCTTTCGTAGAAAATTTCACAATGTATCTTCTATTCACAAATTAAACAGGAAAAAAGGATTTATAGTCAAAATACTAAGAGATTTATTATTTTGTGGACTATGAAGTAAATTATTTAATAACATCTATTCATATAAATAATAATCAGTATGAATCAATCTTTGTGAATTTAATTTTAAATAGTTAATACTGTTAATGTTTTCATGATTACTGTATTATATAAGACTTAAGTCAAAACCTCTCATTTTTAAAAAAATATATATTCCCGTATATAAATGTAAGTTTATTTTGAAGAAGATGAGTTACAATAAATCATCGGCGATCCTTTTCATGTAAAAATGAAAAATAAACTTGACAAATCAGCAAGAAGATAAGTAGATAATAGGCCAAAGAGTTTCTTGGATAATGTTCCATCACCATTCAATTGAATGCAAGGAGTAAGAATACATGTATACCGTGATTCTTTTGTAGATTAGGTAAGTTATGAAGTTTTTTCATTTTCACATGCTTTCGGAGTAGACTATGGATCAAGGAGTAAAAGTAGGACTTTAGTACTCTGAAGTACGAATGGAGTACGAATGAAGTACGAAACTCCATTGCACATTCATGTACTTCACTCGTACTTCAGCGTACTGAAGTCTTGCTTTTATTCCTTGCTATTTATACGATGATCAAAATTGCCACGAACGCAAAATGTCTAGAATGTTGATAATCAAGTTGTTTTATAAATATCTTTATGAAACAAATTGTAACTTTCATATAAGATATCTGTGAAATGATTGAAAGTTTTATATTAAAAAGGATGAATTTTACTTAACTTTATCCAAAAAAATCTGACATGGTGTTCTCATCGATAGCCATCAATATTTTCTATTAGAATATTTAGAACACAATTTGATCATCAATATTTTCGACAATTTGGATTTGTGACAATTTTGATTATTGTCTGTTTGATAAGTGCAAGATTAATCAAAGTTTTGGTTAGTGAAAAGTGAATAAGCAAAAGAGAAAAAAAAAGAAAAAAACCCAAAATATTTTCTTGATTATGTGTATATGCGGACGAAAGCCTTCACCGCTGCTCGACAAATCGGACATGTCTTCAAACTGTGACCGCATGCTACACAACTGGTTAAATGACCACACGGTAGACATGCAACTTGACGTTCCGTATTCAGACACAGAAGACAGAGAGTTGGTTCTTCTATAGATAAAAAATAGAAAATATTAAATAAGATGACTTATTATTCGATAAATACTTTTACCTGTCTTTGGCATTAATCTTGGGCGTTGTGTAACGGTTGTAATAATTTTCGGCGGTTCAACTTCTTCAAAGTGAGAAGAAAAATGAGAAAAGAAAAAGAGCATAAATATAAAATACATACTTTCAACTGGGGGTGTCTGTGCAGTATCACTCTGTCGTGGTATCATACTTCGTGCTTGTTCCTCAATATATTTTTTCATCCAAATTTGTGGAATAAGTATATTAGACTCGTTACCATTGATTAATTTAACTTGTTTGTCAAGAATAAGACATGCGACACGAAGGTCAACATCACTTTTAAAATCATCCTCTATAAAAACACCATATAAATCATAAATTTTATTGTTTCATATTACGTTACTTTTAAAACGAAGTTGCATTTCATAAACTTTGCTGAAGGAAAAAAAACAACAAATTCAAAAAATCGATTTTTCTTAAATTATGTAAGATTACCGAATGATTGCCATACTATAACCTTCTTGTCGAAGTTTTTCAACAACTGGTAAATCAAGACGAGCTTTAACCATTCGATCAATTTCATCATTCGTCCATGGAGTATATTGTGAACTTTCACCATTATTACTCTCTTGTAAATTTTGTTGTGCTTAATATAATGAAACAAAAGAAATAATATTCTTTATTTAATTTTTTTTAACGTACTCCGTAATTCACGATTTTTACGTTGTATAGCTTGGTAAAGATTTTCACCGATAAACTGCCGAATATATGCACATTGTGGAAACCAACGAGCATGCTCAATCTTCGGATCATCCGAAGCTTGCCAATTTCGTAATGCACCATTACAATAAAAGCATCTAACGACAGTGCTATCACCTAAAGAAGAAAAATAAGATATAATGGTATTCGATATTTTTAACATAAATTGAACCTGTGTAAAAAAATCCAGCATCAACGAAAGTTTCAATCGATGGTAGTGATGCTTGCTGTGCTTCTGGCCAGTTGTGAAATGTCTGATGTCGACGAAAAACTGCTGCATACTCAGCATGTACGGCTCCAACAATAGTTTGACCATTGGGTACAGCATTCGTCGCTGGAATCGGTACAGGTAATTGTCTTTGATTATTGGTTGCTTTCTGTTCATTTGAACGAACAAAAAAACACTGAGGAGATTTGAGACGATGAACCTCATACGGTCTATCGGTGTCATTCCAATTGTGAAACATTGTGTCACAATGAATACAAATTACTCGGTCTGCTATATTAGTATACCACCAACCTGCATATGTCATTTCTTGAGCACTTGGTGTTATCGAGGGCCAATTCGATAATGTATACGTTCGAGCTCTGTCCATTGTTTCAGTCGATAACGAAAAAATGAATGGATTTTCAGTACCCTTATTGTTTGTATTACCAGCACCACCACCATGATCCATATAGCCTCGCAGATCCGAGTTGACAACATCAGTACGTGTAATTGTTGACTTCAGGAGTGATCCCAATTGATCTGAATATATATATAGAAATGTAAACTAACTATTTAATTTTTCGATGTTCAAAGTGAAATGTCTACCAAACTGGATCGTAATTTCATTAAGAATTATATTATGATTTCTTGTTCGATTGTAATCATGTAGTTATCCATATAAGCAATTGCCTAGGTGATTGAAATCATATTAATATAAACTCATATGATTTCTGAACAATAAAAAGGCTAGAGATCATTTTTAAAATTGATAATATTTAGTCTTCGAAATTTTTTTTATGCTCAAAGAAATCATATCAGTTTATTACTAATCTAATATTTTAACAATCTATTTCAATGCATACATTTCATTTTACAACTATTTGGAATAGTAAATCCTATTTTCTATTGATATCATATGTACTAACATTCAATGGATCAATAGAATCGAGTTATTCTAGTTAGATACATACATATTCTACAGAATGTTTCAAAAGTTATGATCGTTTTATACATATCTACAACTTCAGAATTAATCAAACTTAATTCAAAATGTTCTTTTTCGATTTAAACGAACTTTTGACTACAATACAACGCTTAGGCTTTCTTCGATATCAATACGTAAGCATTGAACCCAAGTGCTGGTTTAGTGTACAGAATCTATCCAACTAATTCTGACTGTGCCAAGAAACCGGTACTGACGACCGCCCCGTCTATCGATCCAGTATCAGTAGACTGGTCGTAAAAAAACTAAATCAATTTCATCTATAACGAAAAACATTATGCAACGTTTTTTTTTCCATTAATACCAATATCTAGTGTTATTATGAGCTCCACTTAATGCAAATTTTTGATTAATACTTTATAATGATTTATTTTAAAGGCATTGAGTCAGTGATATGTCTTCAAAAATAGAACGTTTATATCTCTGAGATAATTTGAATAGCCGTAGAAATGAACGCATCGAACCATTTTATAAGACGTTTTTTCATTAGAATTGGTCGTCTTGTTTTCTTTTCGTACGAATATATATATATACATATGTATATATTAGACGAACTGTTTATAAAGTTATGCAGAAAAGTTTGCACGATTATAAGGCTATGATAAAGGTAAAAATTTGTGTACATATTTTAAAAAACACCCGTACACCAGTTTTTGGTATCGAAAATAGGCTGATTATCGCCCTGTAGACAAAACTGCTACCTTGTCTACATTGTTGATGATCTTCGTCTTTATAAATAAAAACTAATTAATTTCGTCATTCGAATAGAAGGCAACGTGTTGGATTAACTGTGATCAAGAGTCAAGTTATAGGCATTTCTAAAATGACCATTGCTTTCGGGACACTCTGTAGATTCGTAGGGAGATAGAAAAAAGTGCTAATATACCATTTTTTGAAAATATTTCATGTTGATCAAGAACAAATTGACATCCAGGCTGTAGCCTCATATGTTCTTGTTTGGGATCCATCCCTGGTTTCCAGTTATCAATTTCAAGTCCACACGCGTCACACCGTACTTTATCACCTTTTCCTGTATATGAAAATCCAACTTTGGCAAGTACGGCTGGAGAAACGTTGCATTGAGTGTTGGTTTTCCATTGTCGAAAAGTCGCTAAACGGCATAGATCGGGTTTCACACGACGCGGGAACCGAAGTACAGTTCTATTAGTAGAATTTGATGAGCCATTTTGCTTCATAGCATGAGTTCCGACCGCCATTTTTTTTAGTGGATTTTAGTGAGGCGAATACCTCGGATTTTTTGGCACGTCTATTTAATGAAAAAAGAATATGTATATATTGATATTTCCATACATTTATATGACAAGTTTTCTCCTAATATGAAATACAATAAATTGCTATCAATGTTCTAGTCGCACTTGCCTTTTCCATACTCATGAAGTTCTGGAGTATCTTGAGCAAGAAAGTTATATCATATGAACACATCTGAAGAACTTTTGACAAGCTCAAGTGCTTGAACTTGTTGATTCATCACTTAACATTTATATTTACGTGCCGGAATTATGGCTCAAGCGTTCATGTATCTTGTTCAAATGCGTGTAAGGATGAGCTCAAATGAAATACTTTATGGAAAATATTACAATCTGCAGAGATTAACAACAAAAGTTTGTTCTTATCACAAACTAGCGATAATAACACTCCATTGGACCTGATCACCTTTTATAACTATGAAAACGACATCTGTGATGATGAAACTAATTTTAATTATATTTTATCCATGTTTTTTTCGTTCTTTTTTCTTCAATCTTAAAATCAAAATAGTTCAGTGCATAATAAAAGCTCACAGGTTAACAATGACGTCTGTAACAGATGAGCTAGAAAGGGAATTTGTATAAGTAAGTAGATTCAGACATTCTCAATGTCAAGAAGCATTCTTTCTTCTTCAACAAAGCAGTTTTATAATTTTATAGTCAAGTTATTGTTTTAAAGTGTGCTTATATCGCTTGATTTTTGATGAATTCACTGTATAAGCTGCTCTAAATGTGCGTATAACTCATGAAAGCATTTTAGTACTGGTCTATGCGAAGAGAATCATGTAATATGGATAATTCTTTAGATCTGTATAAGTCAAGCACATGAAAAGAAAAAGTTCGAATATAGAAACTACTAACCGTGAGTTATTATTGTTTAGATATTTTAATTTAAATAAATATATAAAAAACAACAACTCCATTTATAACAAATAGCAACCAAGCAGTACCCAAGATACCGATAACACGTGGCAAGTGTCGCTCTCTATTTGTCTGTGGGAAAAAACACAAATTTTTTTTTTGTGCTTTCACCGCTAAAATTCAAGAAAATTTTCTACTAAATGAAGAAATTTATAAATTTTTCGCTATATGAAACTTACTTTTTGAAATATTTAATGACTTTAGGAATAAAAAACAGACTTCTGAATTTCAACATCTCATTGGTTATATATACTAAAATATTATACAACCATAGATCTCGAATATACCAGAAAATTTCTATACAGAAGAAATACTTATTAATAATGTAGGTATAATAAACCTGACTCATATGCACTTTTATTGTCACGTAAGTTCTGTCCACGTCATCATACTGACTATTTCAACTATTTAATGACTCATTGAAACTGATATTACTTCGGTCATCATATATATATTCATTCCGATAAAGGGCAGGTTTTTCTACGGAACAAAGAATAAAAAAGGCGATTTCTAGTGGAAACAGCTAACTTTTTTGATCAAAAATAAATTTCAAGAGAAAACGTTTTTCTTTCACTACTAAAAATAGTGGAAAATTATTGCATTCATATAAAAATATGTTGTAAATAAGAAAAAATTCATTACTAATATATTCACATGAGAAACATTGTGTTTTTCTAAGGGACCAGGCGTTCGTTAACAATGTCGTTTGCAAAATAAATAGAAAACATTTCTTGTATATTATGTCAGTCGGAATATTTCTCATGTTAAGAGTACAGATTTTCCATCAAATTGAAAACCAATCAATTCTCTACTAAAACGATAAACAAGGTCACAATTTTACGAATATAAAAATGTCATAGCATTTATTGAAAATTCGAATGACTTTTTAAAATTTTCTGTAATTATTCTAAATTGAACTACATATTGATCAATGAGTATTCTATGAGAAATTCTTATAAAAAAGTAAAATAATCATGCTTTTTATTACTGATAAATACTATAAAAGCTGATCCATACAAGAACTCTGTACGAGAAAATGAAAAACTACCAAACTCTGCAACTTTCTTTAAATATCTATAGTATGAAAGCCATATTGCTGTGTATCTTTTAGTGTAATGTATTTGATTTCTATTAATGATAACAAGTCAATATGAATCATCAGTTTATGTGTCCGAGATACATGCATAGTTAAACTTAGGTTTAATGAACATTTTCTTTTCATAAGTATTTTTCATATTGAATAATGCGGCTAGATGCTCCTTTCTTCGCTCTACAAAAGAACATAAACGTTTGATCAGCTCTCATTCTCTGTTACGAAATATATGGGTGAGACTATGATAGAAACGGCATTGCTGCAATCTGCTCCAGACATGGCGACCGCTTTTTCTCTGTAATAAAAAAAAACACACATATGTAAAATTTTCTCTATAATATCTCCTTGTTCAAAAAACAGTTTGAAATTCTTTACATTTGTCGGATAAAACGTCCTCTTTTCAGTTAGTGTCCGGTTTGGTTTTGACTCTTTGTACGAATGACAGTACTCGACATCGAATTTTACTTCATCCGATATATGTGAAGAATTCCCCAAAGATGCTTTTACAACCGTGCTGCTGAGCGTCACAGAACAGAAGACTCTCACATCCACATATTTCCCAGTGAAGAAAGAGAACTGATCAAGTATTTATATACGTTTTTTAGCGTAAAGAAAGGCATATTTAGCTGCAGTGTTCAAATATCAAAAATTTTTATGGAAAGAAAAAGATTCATTAATCTGAAGTTTAAATATGCATGTATCTTGGGTACATAAGCTGATGAGACGTATCGGCTTCTTACCATAGATAGAAATCGATTTCGCTATACCAAAAGGTGCAGAATCATGGGCGGCGTACCGCCAAGTAACGAGTTAGCAATTGCTTCCACTAAAAAGAATTTGGAGAAGCAATAAAAATTTATTGCTTCCTCTAATTCTCCATGTTTCATCCATATGTTATTTCTTCATATTTGCTGAACCTTTGATTACCAAGTAACTTAAATTTGTACTTCTTTCTGCTTTCGCCCATAATCACCGTATAAAAACGTACTCATAAAGAGATCAACTAGCAGCTAACATAAATAGTTAAATAAACAGTTTCAATGAGAAGACCGCAATACTTTCAATTGATTCTTACGTTTATAATTTCATGAAGAAGGAATAACTATTAAAATGGCAGACAATGTTTCACATGAGTATCAACTCGAAAATCAAATGTCTGGTGAGCGGAAGGTAATAACAAAGAAAACTTGCGTTTCGCTCACTCGTTCTGAACACATCTGTTCTCAATAGAAACGTTACACCAGAGCTGGAACCGGTAAGAAATCGAAAAACCGGTCCGATCTGGTCGCCGGCCCGGAGCGGTTACAGAAGGCTCTTGAACCGGTGAAATTCCGACAAACCGGACGGCATACCGTATAACTGACTGCGTCAAAATCGTCCCAGATACTGGAAAACAAGTGAAGAAACGATGAAATCAAATTCTACTCTTCACAGCATAGATTCAGACAGATTACGATTTAAAGTTTTCTCATTGGATCCTAAGAAAAGTATTTAGAAATATAATTTGAAGAATTTCAATTCTTGACCAAGTATAATTAAAACTTGGAGTTAGATTCTAGAAAAGATATTTCTGATGTTTGCGAGTCATTGGACATTTTAATTTTGTGAATAAGATCTCGAGAGTATGATGTAGTTTTGCGTAATAGTATCTATTGTTCCTTGGTACATTTACCATATGCAAAATCGAAAGTTAGTTTTCAGTACTCTGCTTTTCTAGTATAAGTTATGCTTGTTCATGTTGTATTATCAAATCGTCTTTTCATCATTTCTCATAAAAACAAAATGACAAAATAAAAAATATAAACAAAAGATGAGATATACAACAATAGACAATCATATTGAAAAAAAAATAGTCAATTTTATTCCAATGTTAATAATAATGGTATTAAGATATATATATACTGTATATCGATGAAAAACCATTTCATCAACTTCATACCTGATGGAAAAAACCAAAAATAACTTTTTTTTTTTACAACAAAACAGAGAAAATGAAGATAGTTACTTTTAATTTTCAACCGGTAAATTTCCGGTATTTTCCGAGCCGATAGATTTTTCAAACCGGTTCGGTTCGGTCCGGCCGGACCGGTTCCAGCGCTGCGTTACACTGCCCTCAAACTCTTAAGACCTCTCCCTTCAAAAATCGATTCCAGGGTCAAGTATATTCAAATCGTCTAAAATTTTCAGAGCATGTTGAGACTTAAGTGAAGATACTATGGTAAAATTCCCAGCTCTATACCATAATGTGTGATAGAAATATGAACCAAACAAGGGCAAAAAATAGCTCGTTCCGCAACCCATTTTTCTCTATCCTGGCTCTTTCAACATATTAAAATTCTTTTTGTTTGAAAGAGCATGTCAGAATGTAGGGCATCAACAGAGTTCTTTTTTTAAATTTCTTACATTTTAAGCGGAGAAAAGGGATCACAAGTTCAATAATTCAGAAAACCATCTAAAAAGGGGCGTCAACTTACATAAGTGTTTATATATATAATGAACAAAGTTTAATTGAAAAAGGATTCTGTGGTGTCCTTTGTTTTGATGTGCTCTTCCAAACAAAAAAAAAATTAAATATATAGAATGAGCCTGGACAGAGAAATTTGAGTTACGCGTTCGAATAAGTATAAGCTAAGAAAAAACAAAAGACATTTCCCGTTTTTTTCTGAAAAAGCCTGTTTTTTAAGAAGTGGAAGATAAAAGTTATCAAGAACTTTGCCCCAAAACGGAATGTCAATTTGAAAATCATGTTGTTTCCGAAAGAACAGAACGCGGGCTATATCCGCATGCATTTATCCTAGTTTTCATTTTTTTTTGACAAAAATTGACTTTTTCTGAGCGGGAAGGTCTTAATATGCTGTCAAATAAATTAATAGACAAGCTTCCGATACTATGTCTTTGAGAAATTAATTTCGAAAAAAAAAACATTTACTGTTGA